CCCAGCTCCTCAGCACGCGAGTGTTCGGGTCGGGGGCCGCCGCGGTCGTCGAGGACCAGATCCTGTGCGAGGTGTCTCCCGACGCGCAGGTAGCAACGGCGGCGGACAAAGTCGATGTTGCTGGAATGCTGATGCTTTCTTTGACAGGGGGCGCGGCCATCGCGGCGTCATCTCCAGCGCTGATGCTACGCGTGGAGAATACCTTCGAGCTCGACGGCGCCCGACATTCCGTCACTGCCAGGGCAGATTGGGGCACGGCCGAGTTTGAGGTGACGGTGGCTGGTACTGAGGACAGCGCCACGTATCGCGTCGCCTCGTTCGTGGCGCACCAAGCACCAGAAGACGTCTCCGCCGACCAGAGGATGCGGTCTGGCCACTACAAGACCTTCGTGCACTCGGACGACGACTGGTTCGAGATGAACGACGATAAGGTGACCAGGCTCAACGAGCCACCAGATCATTTCCCGTACCTCGTCCTCCTGACGCGCGTCGAGACACCGACGGGCAGGCGCCTGCGCGGCAAGCAGGCGCGGACTGAACCCCGCACCATGCTGGATCTCTTGAACGACAGGGTCGCCGAGGCTGCGTCGGTGAGACGTTGGCAGGCGGACCGACGCGCCCGAGAGGGATCCAGGCAGGCCCGTGGGCATGACCAGGATGACGCGGGGAAACAGGGCGGCCGGCAACGTGAGGAAGGCGGAGGACTGCCGGATTCATCTGGACGACAGCAGGACCGCAGCGGGCGACAGCAGGACCGAAGCGGCAGGCAGCAGGATCGAAGCGGACGGCAACAGGATCCAGAAACGCACGCACGCGGCAAAGAAGCCCTACGGGCTAAAACGGCACGCCTGCTGGCAGATGAGAACGCCAAGAGCAAGTGGGCGAGGTCTGGCCAGGGCGATAACCGAGACCGCACCCGACTCGATCACTTCGCCGAATCCCAGGACCCGGTCCGCCGATATGAGCATACCCGTGAGCTTCGCCGCAAGGAGCCCGCGGAGAAGATCAAGACCTGGGACATGCGGGCGCGGCCCACTCAACCTGCGCCGTGCCATTTGCGCCAGAACACAGAGTTCATCTGCAGGGGGGACTGGCTCCAGCACGTGAACAAGGAGCACGGGGGGGAACAGAGGTACCGCAATGCCCTCTTCGCGCTCGAGTCGCTGTGTCCGCACAAGACCACCGGCCAGGAGATGAGGCTCATCATCAGTAACTTCACGGAGTTCTACACTCGCGGAGCCATGGGCTGGGGCGGGTTCTCGGACGAGATGACGGCGCAGGCCAACTCGGACGAAGGATTGCCTCGTGACCAGAGGTGGGGCCCCAGGTGTCTGAAGGCATGCGTGTTCTGCGCGCGGCGCCAGTGGTCGGAAGACGTCCAGGAAGTGTACCTGGCCGGGCCGGACTGCTTCATGCAGAAACCGGAGGCCGTGGCCGTGCTGCTCGACCCGGAGAAGTACCACGAGGCCTGGAACCTCATCCCGAAGGAAGAGCTTCTCGCGTCCGCCGTGAACATGAGGCTCGGAAAGTCGCAGGAGCGCAGGCTCGTGCTCCTCCACAAGCGCCGAGTCAATGATGCGCAAGCCAGCGGGGACGAGAATGTTAATGTCTGCCGAGAGTGCTTCGACAACTCCAAGAAGAAGACGCCCACCATGTGCAAGTACGCCCTGGCCAACCACATGTGGATTTGGCGCTGGCTCCCGATGTTCCGAGATACGACGCTGGCGCACGAGATGCAGCTGGCACTGGCGCGGGCGGTTGCCACCAAGGTTGTGCTGCGGCCAGACCAGCGCTCCAAGGCTGCGACTGCCGGCCCTCAGACCGCGCGCTCCTGGGACTTCCTCTTCCACCAGTCTGGCTTCACGGGATGCGCTGTGCTGTTCGGGAACGCCTCGTGCACCGAGGCCTTGACGCGGTTCCCGACCGCTGACCTGGGGAAGTCCTTTGCCGTCAGTTTCACGGGGCCGCCCTCGCAGGGCGACGAGGGCGCCGACGAGGCCCAGCGCAGGGGCCGCGCCCGCGTCAGCCGCATCGCTCAGCTCCAGATCGAGAAGTCCGTGTTCGACGCCCAGGCGGCTTACCTTCAGAAGACCAACGTCGTATACGCCAAGACCACTTACGACGCCGACCTGGTGGCCCAGTGGTGCCCGGCGGGCAGTGAGAAACGGGTGCCGCCCCCGATCTCGGACTCTGCTGTCGAGGTCCCCATGGACACCGACGACCCGGGCGCGGTCCTGTCCAGCGGGCCCGGGGACGCCACGGCGGCGGGGCACGCCGACCAGACCGACGAGGACGTCGCGCTCGAGCGCCAGTCCAGAGCGGTGGCCGCCTTCCACCCCGACGACATTCCCGGCGCCAAGGCTCACGAGAGCTGCATGCAGATCACAGGCCTGCAGCACCAGCTGGAGGAGCTCGACGCCGCCGCAGCGCGGTCGGTGGCGGCGGAGGCGGAGTCCATCCTGGAGTCGCAGTTGGACGGCAATGACTCCTGCCTCCAGGACGAGGCTGGCCGAGAGCGCATGCCTGAGATCTGCGCCAAGGTTCGAAAGCTCGCACAGAAAGCCACGAGCGAGCAGTCGCAACACAAAATGCTTGCAGAGCTGCAGTGGCTTCTCAGTGGCGAAGATTCTCAGGCTGCTCCGCCTGCGGCGCCGAGCGCGTCGCAGCCTCCCGCCGCCGCCGCCGCGTCCGCCTCGACCACTCTGCCTCACCTGCAGGTCGCGCGGGGCAGCAGGCCGTTTTCTCTGTTCAACTGGGAAGCCATGACGCAGGCTCGACCCACGCTCTGGCACTACGGAGACGGAGCTTGTGGAGATCCGCAGCGAGCCTGCGCTCCGTACGTCAAGCTTCTCCCCGTGGAATGGATCACGTGCCTGCTCATGCGCGAGGAGCTGGAGTACACGGTGGACGGAGAGGAAGAGCAGTACAGGGTGGATCCGAATCTTCTGTCCAACCAGTTCGCCTCCGATTGGCTCGTCCTTCACCTGTTCTCCTCCATCTACTGGCTCACGGAGCGCCATATGTCGCAGTACGCCTTCCTGAAGAGCGGCGGCATGAAGTTCGCCGAACAGCTCTTGAAGTTGACGCCGGAAGAGATCGCAGCCGCCGCCCGCTTGCAGCATGCCCGGGGCGGCCGCATTCATGGGCTTCGCAACCTGGCATCCGACCAGGAGTTCCCTCACAACCTCTCTGCGGCACTGAATGCCTTGCAGATGGGCCATGCCGACATCATGGGCACGGACGGGCACCGCCGACTTTGCCGGCACGAGGGCAATGCCTACATGGCCCTCTTCGGCGAGCCTGTGGTGTTCTGCACTCCCAACCTTGCGGACACGAAGCAGCCGCTGCTCCTCGTCGTCCAGGGGGAGGAGATTCGTCTGGAGGACAGTTCCATCTTGGGCAACGAGACCCTGCCGAAGTACCGGGACATGATAAAGAGGCTTGCCGGAGATCCAGTGGGTCAGGCGCTCGTGTTCGACAAGATGATGAAGCTGTTCTTCATACACGTCCTGGGAGTACGACCAGAACTCATGGAGAATCGACGTCGCGCGCGGCCCTCCGCCGATCAGAATTGGTTCACGGACGGCGTTGCGGCTTCCTCGTTCGGGCCGGGCATCTTCGGCCCCGTGCTTGCCTTCCGCGGGGAGATTGAAGCGCAGGGCAGGGGATCTCTGCATCCGCACATCCTCGTGCGGTTACTTGGCATGAGACCAGCGGACCTGCTGAGGATACTGCAGCGAGACCCTGGCTCCCTGCAGACCCGCTTGGCGACCTGGATGAAGCAGTGCGTGTCCGCCATGCAGTCCACGTGCCAGAGCTCCGTCAAGAGGGCGCCCCAGAGGTTCGGCCACCTCGACCAGGTCGCGGACCCGCTCCCTTTCTCCAAGACGGAGCAGAGCTTGACCCGGTACGATGGCGGCAGCGAGATCGACGCCATGCGCGACGATCTCAAAGAGAGGAAAGAGGAACCCACGGAAGAGCAGAGTCGGCTCTTCGAGGACGAGGCCGAGAAGGCAGCCTGGAGCAGACCTGCGTTGCCCCTCATAGACAAGTCGGTCACGCAGTGGGGCGCAGCAGCGGACGGCAAGCCGAAGTCCGGATCAACGTACTCCAAGGTCATCTGCGAGTTTGCCGTGTTCAAGTGCCCGGACCATCGCAGGCGAGGCGCGCTCCATCACGGCGGCGACGTCAGCGCCGACGAGCAGAGCGCGGACACGTGGGAGAAGGCTTTCACGGAGGACGCGAGGGCTCTGGCTGAAGAGATCCTGGTGCACGTGTGCGGGGAGAGCTGCTTCAAGTACAGCGGCTCGAAGGTGCAGCAGATATGTCGGCATGGCTACTACTACATCATCAGCTTGCCCGACTGGCAGAGACGACGGCGGGGGAAGCCTCTCCGCAATGCAGTCGTCGTCGTCGGCGAATCTGACCATGGTATGACATGCAGATTGCTCATGTTCCAGGAGCATCCGTTCGAGTGCCTCACCAATTATGCCGGTCTCGATTGCATGCGGTGCAACCTGGACGTGCAGGATATGCTGGTGACTTCGTAAATGCCGCCTGATGGTTTTTCCTGGTGAGCTTTCTCGGAACACGTTCTGATGCGCGTTCTTGAGGCGATTCCTGATTGTGACCTTTCGAGAAAACGGCCCTCGGTGACCTCCCCTTCTCCTGTTTCTCCAGGGAGTTCCTGGGCGATCACTGCGGGGGTGGGGGTGGGGAGTGGGATTGGGTTCCGCTCGATTGTAGGGTACCTCCGTCGCTTTCCTTGCGCTCTCTCAGGATCTACGGCGACTTGCCCCTGTGCAGCACTGGCTCCAGCGATGGGAGGAGCTTCCGCACCTCGGCCTCCGGCCGGATTTCGGATGGATGGGAATCTGGGAGTGGTTTCAAAACGAGTACTCTCCGAGGCGCCCCCTCGAGAAGGGCGATCTGCCCGCCGAGCCCCACGCGTTCACGGAGGCGTTTCCTCCCGATGTATGGAGGGGGTACTCTTGGAGTGCATGCGGTCGGACCACTCAACGGACGCCCAGGACAGCGAGCTCGCGAAAGCCATGGAGCGAGAGTCTACGGCCGCCATGTGCGACGGCATCAACTCTGGCTTCTACATCAACGCGTACACCACGAAGCTGCTGCCGGACATGCAGGGGGCCCTCGAGGAGCTGCGCAGGGGGATCGAGCGCCTGGAGGTCAGGCGGGAGGAAACGCGGGAGGCCAACAAGAAGACGCAGAACGTCACTGCAGAGGGGAGTGCTGCTTCCGAGGCCCCCACGCGCGGCCCCAACAAATTTGGGCAAGTGCTGCAGACACTGAACGCTATGTCGTCTGCCTTCAGGCGGGGCCATCGCAGGAGCGTAGCCGAGATACTGCATCCAATCATGTTCAACACCATGACGTACTTCTCGCATCGTTGCTGGAAGGTCTACATCAAGAGGGCCGTCTTTCTCGCTGCACAGACGTGGCGCAACACGTTCGGCCAGGCCGTGCGACGCAAACATATCCAGGACGGCGGCGGAGTTGGTTTGAGGTACCTCACCAAAGACAAGCACTTTTATCCGCTCGTGGGATGGGAGCGCGTGCGTCTGGACGGAGGCGCGGAGCTTTACCGGCACCCCGACGGCGCCGAGTTCGGGGACCTCCAGTCCGCCTGCGACTACGACGTGGCCGTGAAGAGCCAGAGCTTGTCGGGGTCTTACAAGGGAGAGCGCAGAGGAGCGTTGACTGCTCTGCAGAAGTTCTTGAACGAGGCAGAGGCGGAGACGAAGGAGGACAAGGACAGCGAGGGGGCCAGGCGCACGCGCACTACCACGCCCGTCGACGACTGGTTGCATCGCGGAGACCACCCCGTCCTGAAAGACATGCCGTTGTACATATACGCCATGTGGGTCTACTCGGCCGAGAAGCCACCTCCTTGCCAAGGACGCGCCAAGGGAACCGGAGAGGGAGGGGGAAGGGGGAGGGGGGGGGGGCGCGAGGAGGAACAGGGGAGGAGAGGGAGCGAGAGGAGGAACGGGGGGAGGAGCGTAGAGGAGAGGGGGGAGGTCACCGAGGGCCGTTTCCTGGGCGAGGGGAAGAGGAGGGGGAGGAGGACGAGGTGGGGGAGAGAGGGCCGCTTACCAAGGACGCGCCCAGGGGGGCGGAGAGGGAACGACAGAGGGAACGGAGGGAGGAGCGTAGAGAAGAGGGGGGGGGTCACCGAGGGCCGTTTCCTGGGCGAGGGGAAGAGGATGGGGAGGAGGACGGGGTGGGGGAGCAATGAGAGAAGGAGGTGGGTCAGGAGGAGAACGCCATTGGCGTTGGAGATAGAAAGAAAGAGAGACAGAGAGAGAAATAACGTGATGCGCCTCCCCCGCTTGCCGCGCGCTCCAGGCGCGGGAAGGAAGTCCAAGGGCAACGAGTTCGAGTTCGACTCGAACTACACCCGCGCCAAGACCCGAGTGCAGCGGCTGACCGCCGAGTTGCGAGTTCCAATGTTCGATGGGTTCCTGATGCCCTCGCATCTGCAGGATTCGGAGACGGCCGCCATGTACAAGCAATTGCTTCTGCGCCCCTCGGCTATAGCGCACAGCGACACGGCGACTGAGGACAGTGCTGAACTGGAAGCATTTGCACACATGTGTTCGCCTTTGCCAGACGGCTCCCGGGAGCACTTCACTCCGGCCACGGCGTTCTCGGCCAATTGGCTTCTTTACCAGCGAGAGATGGAGGTGGACGCAGCGGAGGGGCGGCAGCGGTTCCTCGACAGATTCGAGCACCCCTCTCTGTGGGAGACGGAAGAGGTGATCGCGGCGCAACACGGCGCCTGGCTGGATCGCGACCACGTCGGGGAAGTCGATCCAGATCATTGCCGCGCGCTCAGTTGCGTCGATCGACAGCCCCGAGCGGTGCTCCGCTCGAGATCGTCGACTGCGTCGGTGACTTTTCTGGTTTCAGGAGAATGTCGAGATCGTTGTCCGACCCGTCGTTTGCATCGTTGGCCTGCAGGTGTCGGGGCAGTCTTCGAGGTGTGACGTTTTACGGTAGACGGCCCTCGGTGACCTCCTCCCCCTTTTCCTCGGAGGATTCGGTAAGAACGCCGGGCCCGCGCGTCGGGCCCATCGCGTGCTCCGGGAGCGCGCCTCTACCTCACCACGTTTCTGTCGATTCCGTGTTGCCTCTCCGCGCGCCCTCGCCTTTCGCGCCCCTCGTACTCCCGAGGCCCTGACAAGAGCAAGCCGCGCGCCACGGTGAAGCAGTGCGCCGCCATCGTCGGGCTGCAGGTGGCGCAGAACCTGGAGGGCTTTGCGAGAGCGCGCATGGAGCACCGCCCGCGCCAGTACCAGTCAGACGCAGCCGTTCACGAGGCGCGCCTCCGCATGACCGCTGGTGGAGGCGGGGCTGGCGACGAGGGGGCAGGCGACGCGGCGGACGACCCTCCGGCAGCGCCGCAGCTGAGGATCGGCACTTTCGAGGAGGTGCCCCTGCTGGGGATGACGAGTACCGAGGACCTCAGGAAGACGCTGACCTACGGCCATAGGGCTCGGCCCAAATTGTTCGAGAAGGAGCTGCTGGCCCTCCCGTGCATGGACTGGAAGGACGTCCTCCCCGACCACTCCCGCGCCGATCGCCTCTTCGACCAAGGCCGCGGGGAAGCGTGGCGACTGCAATACCGGGGTTTGCACGACAGCATTCCTGACGTCTGGAGCGGAACGGGCCACGTGGACAAGCAGATCCAGATGCTTAAGCTGCAGGATCTCGCATTCCAAGACAAGGCGGCAGGCGACAATGATTCCGACGACGAGGAGGAGGCGCCCGGGGCGGGAGACGGGAAGGACCCCGAGCCGGCGTCATTCGACGAAGCCGGCGTGCACGCTACCCCGGGCGCCTACATCATGGACCTCGTGGCTGGCTTGCCAGAGAACAAGCCGCTCACTCGAGACCAGATCATCTTCGCCATGCGCTTTGCTGATGCCTGCGACCAGGTCTGGCGCGACGAGAAGAACGGCACCCCCTGCTACCAGCGCAAGGTCCACCACATCCTCCTGCTGGGCCAGGGTGGATCTGGCAAGACGCACGTGGTGCAGGAGCTCGTGTTCAAGGCGGTGAACCACATCTGGCCGCAAGAGAGCAAGGCCAGTCCGAGCCTCGTTGTGGCGGCCTTCTCCAACGCTCAGGCCAAGAACATCTCGACGGCGGACGTGGAGGCCATGACGATCAACGGAGGTGGAGGCATGGCCGTGCAGGAGCTGACGAACCAGAAGATGCGGCCCAGCGCCGAGAAGCTCAAGAAACTGGAGCAGCGCTGGCGCCGAGTGCGCGTGCTTGTCATGGAGGAGATCAGCATGATATCTGCGGCCCTCTACAACATGCTGGACTTCAGGAGCATGTTTGGCAGGCGCCAGGAGTTCGCCGTGGACGAGTCCAACTACAGGAAGGACCACCACCACTTCGGGCGGGTCCCCATCGTCATTCACCTGGGTGACTTCCTCCAGCTCACCCCGACGAAGGCCATCGGGCTCATCAGGGACGTCCAGGAGAAAGACGAGGACGGCAACTACAAGTTGGACCGCCTCCGAGCGTGGAAGTGCAGCACGCCATCAGAGTCTTCGGCAAAGTGCCCCGCGTGATCGAGCTGAAGGGCACCAAGCGCTTCAGGCCTGGCGACCCGCTGATCGAGCTCCTGGCCTGCATGCGCTTCGCGCGCCGGATTCCAGATCGCGCATGGGCCGCCTTCCAGGCTCGGGTCGCCACCGACTGCACGACCGGAGTGAGGGGCCCGAGGCGCGACGAGGAGAAGTTTGCGACTGGGTTCGGAATGGCCTGGTATTGGAGCACGCTGAGCCGATGGATATCTCGCCGGAGCATGATCGACTCTCGCGCCATGGGAGTGCCGTTGGTTTTCCTGCAGTCGAAGGACGAGGGCGTCGCCTGCGGTACACCACAGGAAACTGTTGATGCGTGCAAAAGGCTGCTGAACGTGCCGAACCCTGGCGAAACGGGGCACATGCACGGAGTTCTTCCCGCGCACGTGGGCATGGAGGCGAGATTCACCGTCAAGGTGTCCAAGCGCAAGAGCTTGATCCAGGAACAGAAGGCCACCATCGTGAGCTTCGTGTTCGAAAGCAGCGACCAGGACAGGTACGACGACTGCGCTCCGGGTGAGATCTTCCGCCCGCGCTGTCTGCCTGCTGGAATCTGGATGCAGGTGCACAACTTCGAGAGGCAGAGCCCGGACGTGGTGGAATCTCTCGTCAACTCCTTCGGAATCCAGAAAGAGAAGGCGAACGGCCTGTTCTGCTTTCCGCTCATGGAGGCGCACTTCAAGTGGCAGAGCGCCAACATTGTGCACCGGGTCAAGAGGTTCGGGTACGCGCTCACGCACGGGCGTTTCCTGACGTCCACCGCGTCACAGGGCCAGACGATCCTCACCGGAGTGACCATCGACTGCGCGCAGGACACGAGCATTGGCAGACCAGAGGATAGAGCGGAGAACTGGTGGCTGCACTTGTATGTGATGCTCAGCAGAGCCACTTGCATGGACGATATGCTCTTACTTCGGCCGCCGCCAAGGGAGGTCCTGCAGAGAGGCCCGCCTCCGTCCGTTCTCAAATCCCTGCAGAAGTTCGATCGGCGTATGGCCACGGAGACGCGGGAGATCGAGGAGCTGGCTCAGGAACGCCAATGGATCTTGCCAGCGGCGTGAGGTCGTCGGAGCGCACGGCCGCCAGAGTCTTTCCGACAAAGGCAGCGCTGTCCAGCCGCGTCGAATTCGCGCGGCCCGTGCCGCTCCTGGACGATTTCGGAGCGTCCGCCCACACTTGGTTGTCGTGGCAACCACAGCCCAGAGATTTTCTATCGAAGGGCACTCGCATGTCGCACGCAGGCGCATCACGTTTGCCATGCAAGTCTTTTGCGCGCACACCTTGGAGACTCTCCGTCGAAGAGACGTGGCGACAGACGCGCGAAAACTGCATGAGACTCGAAAGAGTAGACCGACCGAGGGCAGAAAGGGAGGCAGGGGTGCGGGAGAACGCAGCATGAGGTTAGGGGGTGTGAGTTGCACCAACTTCCACAGTGGGCCCCCTGACTGCTCGAGCTGTGGCAAATCGTTTTGCATCGCCTCATTGGTTGTTGCGATCCCAGGGAACGGCCCTCGGTGACCACCTCGAACTTGTTCCCGATGAAGGATAGAAAGCGGGGAAGAGGGAGGAGGTTCACACAGTAGTGTGTTGGATGACAATATAGGGAAACATTCGCGACGAGGGTTTAGAACGCAGGATTGCGCATATATGATAATGAAAAGCAACCACATAGTATTTAAATTAAGTATGTGGGGTCCCTCGGTAGCGTAATGTTTGCGTTGCCAGCTAGGCCCGATGCCAAGTGCGGACGGCCAAAGCCGATGCACGAACCGCGAGGGTGCCATTTGTAGCACTTGCCTTGTGCACGACGTGTCTCTACGGCTTCTGTGTGCGTCCCTGGTGCTTCGGACGCGGTGTCAATGGAATTCTCTGCCTTGGCAGCAAATTCGTTAACATGTGCATGATAATGAATGTGGACGTGCGTTGAATGTACAGCCGAGCTGCGCGCGTGTGCTCGTCGCTCACATGGACGCGCCCTTAGATCAATACTACCACTGCTCACCGGGGCACTTTCCTACAACATGAGATTCACGTCTAGCTCATCTCGCTAGACTCTCATATACTATCCCAAGTGCAAACTGTTTTTAGAGATCCACATATGGGGAGCTCCACGCAGTGAGCAACTGATATACGATGTCTCCACTTTTTCGCGCCATCCCCAACCAAATCCGACAGCCCCGATTCGCTCTCCATCCCCAGGGGGGTGAGGATGGGAGGGCTTCGGGGTGCAGCAGGGTTCGGATGTCGCCACCTACAAGAAGCGGGCGAGGCCCCCGCCCCCGCCCCTTTGCCTGACGGTGCCGTCGGGTTCTTGGCCCTTTGCCCGTTTTGTCCTCGCGCTTCCCGAGGCGCCGACGAGCGAACGCCCTCTGGCCGCTCCGTCGCTGCTTTCTTCGGCGGCGAACCAGGGGAGGAAGTGAAAAGGAGAAGGTTTTTTTTTTTTGTTTTTCAGGAGGCGGCGGGACTTCCCAGAAGCCCTCGCGCCCTCTGAAGGTAGTGTCTTCGGGGAACGCTCAGAAAACTGCTCAGCAGGCCGGGGGAATTCCGAGTCTTCCGAGAAGGGTCTTTCCTTCTGATTTCCCCCCGGGCGCGCCGCCTATTCTTCGGCAAACTCCCCCCCCCCCTCCCCTTCGATCTGGGCTCCCAGGCAGCGCCCCCGGCGAGACGCAGGCGCTGGAAGCCAGGGGGTGGAGTCACACACACACACACACGCACACACACAGACGCAAATGATCGACCATTCCACTTCCATGTGAAATAATGGGAAATGGAGGGGAAGACGAACACCCAGGAAATATCGAACATATAGGGAATCATCGGAGCTGTGTCTACTCATTTGTTTTTCCCTGGACCCCTTCAGGAAGGCACCCCGTTGCTTGCCGAGGATTCGCGAGAACGCCCGAAGGCCTCGAACCCCGACCCACGAAAGCTTAAGATGGGTATGCAGTCGTCTCTTCATGTATTGTGTGCATTCTCTGGCCCTGAGAGAGTTGGGACCTCCCACCTGGGCTTACGACGGCCCTCAACGCTGAGCCGCCTCTCTCGTTTTCTCTCTTTCTCTTGGGGTCCCCCTCGCCCCTCCTTCTCCCTCCTCCCCAGCCGACCGTCCAAGATGGGCGTGTGGGGCCCCTTTAGCCGTAGAATCGGCCAATGTGCTACAGGTGCGCCGCGCTTGCCCGGCGGCCTGCGGACAGGTGTGTCCCACTGTTCCGATATTTCTCTGTGTTTTCGCCTTCTCTTGGCCACGCCTGGAGGTGGATCTGCGGCGGTCCGGCCGCTCTCCCCATCCCCTATTGCGGTTGCTCGCTTCACTGAGGCGTCGCCGCCCGCCTCGGCTCCTGCCCAGAGGTGCGATGTCTTGGCTTTTTTCACTGCGGGGTCCCCGGAAGTCCCGACCCCTTCCCCCGGGGCCACCTTCTCAGCCCGGGTCGACCTGCGACGGCCCCGAGGCACGGCGAGGGCCCCCCGAGACCGCAGACGGTCAGCCGTTTCCCGTCGTGTCCTCTCCGCGGCGCGAGCGTGTCCGGGTCGACCCCGTCGCTCCCCCCCGCCGCTCCTCGCCCCCCAGCGCGGGCCGCCGCCCGCCGCCCCGCGCGCGGGCCATCCCCTTTCCGCGGGGAGGCGGAGCTGCGGAGGGCCAGGGGCGCGGAGGCGGACCTCGTCCACCGCGGCGTGGAGCTCGAGGCCGCCGCCGACGAGGACGACGAGGACGCCGACGAGGACGACGAAGACGACGAGGACGAGGACGAGGACGACGACGAGGACGACGACGAGGACGACGACGACGGGCGGTCTAGGAGGGCCCAGGAGGCCCCAGGAGGCCCTGAAGGGCCCCAGGGGAGCCCAGAGACCAGAGGATTGCTGCGAGGGCGGAGAGGGAGGCGGGGGGGAGGAGGAGCATGAACGCTGGGTGCATCGACATGCTCGTTAACCCCATCAGTGGCGCCCGACGGATCGTGGTGGGGAGCCCGCTTTCCAGATTGTTTGCCCGCAGCGTGTCCCCAGAGAGGAGGGGAAGGAAGGAGGGGGCACGTGAGGAGGAGGACGACGACGAGGAGGAGGGGGCTGATGAGGGCCATGGGGAGGAAGACGCATAGGAGGAGGATCAGGAGAAGCAGGGACGCCAGGAGGACGACGACGAGGAGGACGACGGTGAGGTCGATGACGCCGACGACGCCGAGGACAACGACCACGACAACGCCGACGATGATGACGACGACGATGACAAAGTCGACGACGACCATGACGACGACGAGGTCGACGACGACCACGAGCCCGACTACGATGACGACAAAGGCGGCAGCGAAGACGACGGAGAGGTCGACGGCACTGACGACGACGAGATCGACGCCAACCACGACGACGATGCCGATAACGACGACGACGACGACGACGACGACGAGGGCGACGACGACGACGACGATGACGACGACGACGACGAGCACGGCCACGACGACGACGACGACGACGACAACGACGACGACGAGGTCGACGACGACCACGAATACGACCACGACGGCAGCGGCGGCGACGACGGCGAGGTGGAGGGAAGTTACCAGAAGGAAGAACGGACGGACGAGGAGGAGGAAGACCACCAGGAGGAATGGGGAGATGAGGAAGAGCGGGAACGAGGAGGACGCCGACTCCTACCCGCCTCCTCCTCCTCCTCCTCCTGCTCCTCCTCTTTCTCCCCCTCGTCTTTCACCTTTCCTCCAATTGGGGCGAGCGGCTCAGGAGTTTCCCCCGACCGAACCCATTCGCACGAATCGACTGCCGACAGCTTCAGGGGCAAGAAACTTCCCGCGGCCAGGGGGGGAGAGGGCCTGGGAATCGATCTGGAACTGTACCTTTGAGTCTGGGAGACTCTCCAGGGGAAAGGGCGGCACATTTCTATGTTGTACTTCCTTTAGGTGTTGTGCATTGCAGGGGCTGCACTATCACGAACAGGTTTGCTACGTTTGGTTGCGCACGTAGAATATCTCTGGCTTAACCACTGCACAAAGACGGTCCGAGGCAAGTTTTCTATCTAGAGTGGAGCCGCTTTTGTTAAGCATTGGCAATGATGCAACAACAGCGTCGATGGACTTGTATTGCAACGTGGAGAACAGTGGGTATGGTGAGGATGTTGACACAATATCAGACCAGGCTCTCATTCGCAAATGTGCAAGATCTTGGCATGGCTATGTGGACTGCGCAAGAGGCAAGACACACTCATGACACACACCAACGGGGAGGCCAGTGAGACACTGGATTCGAAACCATGTGGCATGATATGTGTCGGAAGTGCGAATCTCTTGGCAATAAGTAATAAGTGTGCATCTGCGTATTGCCCACAGCGACGAGGAACACTATGCTTTGTACTGGGATGTGGAACGGTGATAGTACACAGTATCTTGAAGCATGTTAAATGACAGTTGGTGCAAGTGCCGATCTTTTTCGATGGCCAAGTGTACATGGCTTTTCTCATAAGCACAACCGTGAGGAAAAACACACTTCCTATGGCCAGGCGTTAGAAGTTTTAAATCTATATGAGAAATCACAAAGTTCACAGGTGACACAAGTGCAACCACGGGGCGGGAGCAATGCCGCTGTGCGCGTCGACGAGAAGGTGGGTAAGGAGAAACACGCGACGAATCCATTGCATGATTTGCTTACTTGTCATCATGGTCAGCTGCCGGATCAAGTATATAAAGTATTTAACGTACTGGCACTCGGGGAGACGTTAAAGGTCGTTGATCTCATGGCGGGACTCTAGGTTCAAGGAGAAGAGGCGGAAGCATACGTCGCTTGTTGAACGAATGGATGGAAATTGGATTTGTTGATGGCCGCGTTGAATCAAACAGCATAAGAAGAGTACTAGAACACTACGCAGTTGTATAATGTAGGCACGCTGGCAATGCTGGCATATAGTAGCGTGGATGCGTCAACACAGGGCAGTGGCAGTTACACTTGGTTGCACACGTGAGTCGTATCATGTGCCACGATGCTGTTAATACAAAACAACAGAATTATGTGACTGTGCATGTGCAAGAGCATGTTATTCGGCTCGGCGCGCAGTTGGCGCGTCGATGCAGTTTGCGCCGCATTCGAGTGCTCTCGCGTTCGGGTTGTCCCATCAGGCCCTTTTGGGGAGGCGGCCTCGCGAGGACTCGACCTCGCCAGCCTCCCGACCCCGACTTTCCTGTGCCGCTGACTGCGCGTCGCCCTCTGCCGCAGGGCCACCCTGTCAGGCCCGCCTCGGAGGAGGGAGTGCGGGCAGGGGGGATCGAGCCAGACCAAGTCCCGCTGCCAGGGTCGTCCTGGCAGGCATCGTGACTTGGGCTGGCTTGATCCGCGGCCCTGCGTACAAAGTGACCCGCAGGGATTTCTCGTATCCGTAGCTGCCGCTGCTGCTGCTTTGGAGCACCTTCCCGAACGCCTTGTCCTTGTCTCCTTTCCACTCCTGTTCCCCTTGCCCTGCCCCCCTCCCCCCACGACTTGCAGGACCGGCTTTTTGCCGCCTTGTGTTGTGCTTTTTCTCGCTTGCACAATCCCGGGGAGCCATTCCCTAACCCCCCCACTGACTCCCAAGAGCCGCAGTACAGCAGAACGCCCGTCGCGCGTGTGCCCGCGGCGCCTTCCGCGTGTGCCCACGGCACTGAGCAAAAGTTCATGACGGTAGATTCTTGTCGCCCCGGGGCGAGAGGGTGGGGGGAAGGGCGGCTCTGCCGTCCCCTGGCTGGCCGGCCGACCGAGGCGGAGATGCGCAGGACGAAGGCCACAGAGGCGGAGTTCGTACAGCGCAACGTCGAGCTGGAGGCGCGGCGATCGGGGGGGCGGGACCAGGGGCTTATATCGACTAGACGTAAGAGTGACCTTTCGCCGGAGTGACCTTTGCTGCGGGCACGGATGGGTCCCCAGATGGCTGAAAACGAAGCGGTAGCAGCGGCTTGCGCGCCCAGGTTTGGTCCCCCCGCGGCCCCCAAAACGCCGCGCACCAAAGGACACTCTTACCCAGGGTCACGCTTGCGTATAGCCGATGATAGCTAGGGGAGGGTGCCGTCGGGGAGCCGCTATCGACACATCTTGACAGACAGTTTCGGAGGCCCGCGCGGATTCATCGGAGCGGCGCTGGACCCCCCCCCCTCGGGGCGCCGCCCCCGGCGCGCGCCGCCCCTGGCGCGTGCCACATCGGCCCCCAGTCGCCTCCTCATGGTCGGCAGGAGCCCAGTCGCACACCCCGCCCAGGAGCGTTCCGTTGGGCTGTCGGGGGGGGCCTGCCGCCGATCCCTCGGCGATCTATTGCCGATTCCGAGCGGCTGCTTCTCCCCGTGAGCTGGTCCCCCGTATCGGTACCCCTCAGAGACGGCTGAGCGCAGGCGTGGCCAACTGACGCGTGCGAAGACGATTCGAGTCTAGTCGCGTTCTCTCCGCTCGTGGCAAGCATCCTATGAAACGGGAGGAAGAGGACGGGGACCAGGAGGCGGACGAGGAGCAATGGGATGAGGATGTGATTGGTGAAGAGTAGAAGGAGGGAATAGGAAGCTGGAGCACGATGGGAATGAGTAAGGGAGGGAGACCGAGAGGTCGATGCGAAAGAGGGAGGCGGAACTTGGCGCGAGGAGAAGGACAAGACGGAGGCGCAGAAGGCGGGAGACAGATGATGCGAAGTAGGATGGACGAGGGGGAGAGGGGGAGAGGGGGAGATGCATTTAGGAGATAACGGAGGCTCTGACGGAGCCGGAGGATGAGGAAGCGAGGAGGGTCGAGGAGTAGGAGGAGGGACAGGCTGCCTGCGAGGAGGAGGGGGAGGGATAGGGCAAACGAGGGAGACGACACTCATAAGACAGGAACACGTGGTGGGACAACGACGAAGAGAAGGAGGTGTAAGAGGGAGAGCGGCATAGTCGAAACCGATGACAAGGATGGGTAATTTTCCCAAGGATGCCCTTGCACCCTTGCCTATTCGGTCCGTCCCCAGCCACTCTCGCTGGCCAGCCCCGCTCGAGAAGCTTCGACACGGGGCGTGCATCCTAACCGCGCAGGGGGCGAGCGCTGCGGCGAGGGGCGCCCTTCTTGTGCGCTGATCTGCGTGGCCGTCCCGCGCGCTCTTCGATTGGATTCGAGGGCGAGGGAAGCGAGCGATTGGATTGCGAGGAAGCGAGGCCATTCGGCGGGGAAGCGAGCGAAGTGAGCGTAGCCATTCGGCGGGGAAGCGAGCGATTGGATTCGAGGGCGGCTGCAGCACACGCCGCTGTCCCGTCCGCACCGTCGGGTCGCTGCCTGATCCTCACGGTTTTTCCGCCCTTCGTGCTTCCGCTGCCGTTCCCGATTCCACATCTCGTCCTCCTCCTGCTCAGGATCCTGGTCCTGCTCCTCCCTCCATTCTCCCCCTCTGCGCTTCCCCATCCCCTCTCTTCCTGCTATACTGCCCGCTCTTACATCAATGCTTCCCCCACATCATCATCATCATCCTACTCCTGGCTCCTCTCTCCTCCGGCATGCTCTTCCTCCTCCTCCCCTCCCCGCTACGTACTCCCCCCTCCTCCCCGTCCTCCCTCATCCCGTCGTCCTCACCCCCGCCCTCTCCCTCCCCTCCCTCACCTTCCTCCCTCCCCTCCCTCACCTCCCTCCCTCTTCTCCTTCCCCTCCTCCGCCTCTAACGGAGGCAGGCCCTCCTCTCTCCTCCCCACCTCCCTCCTCCTGAGTCCCGCGTCCTCCCGTCTCTCCCCACGTTGCGAACACATTGCAACACCGCAAAAACCCCCCTGCCTCCCCCTTTGTCGCTCCCCTGAGATCCGACGTAGCAGCAACAAACAGTCAGCATCGCAGAAAAGCACGCCCAGAACCCCGGACCCGATCTTTCTGCATCGTCTTCCGAGCCGGATTGACCTGCGAGGGTCTTGGGGCCCGAGAAAAAAGGCGAAGACGCCCGGCTCCAAGAAGTTGAAACGCCAGGACCTCAGGGCCCCCTCCCTCCCCCCCCTCCCCTCCCCCCGTCGCGGGCCTCCGGCGGCCCGGCCTCGGCGCGGGATATACATTTGCAGGACGTGGTGTCGCGGATGGCCAGGGCCTCGCAGGACTGCCCTCGGGGGGGCGCGGCGACGCGCCGCCCTCCCCTCCCCGGCGACGCGCCGCCTTCCCCTCCCCGGTGGGAAGTGGGAGGGGAAGGGGGGGAGGGGGGGAGAGATGGGGAGGGGGGAGGGATGAGGAGGAGGAGGAGGAGGAGGAGGGATGAGGATTGAAGGGGGATGAGAAGAAATACGGATGCGGAGGAGGAGGAAGGAGGGCTGATGATGATGATGATGCTGATGATGATGATTATGATGATGATGATGATGATGATGATGATGATGCTGATGATGATGATGACGACGATGATGACGATGATGGTGGTGATGATGATGATGGTGGTGAAGATGATGATGATGATGGTGATGGTGATATAGATGATGATGATGTCGTTGATGATGATGATGCTGATGATGATGTTGATGTTGCTGCTGTTGATGGTGATGATTCATGATGAAGATGCTGATGATGATGATGATGATGATGATGATGATGATTGTGATGGTGATGATGCTGATGATGCTGATGCTGATGCTGATGATGATGGTGATGATGGTGATAATGATGCTGATGATGATGCTAATGCTGCTGATGATGATGGTGCTGCTGCTGATGATGATGATGATGATGATGATGATGATGATGATGATGATGGTGGTGAGGAGGAGGAGGAGGAGAAGGGCGTGGTGTCGCGGATGACCAGGGCCTCGCAGGACACTTCCTCGGGGTGGGGGGGCGCGGCGGCGCGCCTTCCTCCCTTCGCCTGGGGAGGGGGAGGGGGAGGGGGGAGGGAAAGGGGAGGGCAAAGGTCGCCTTCGGGTATCAGATGGGAGGTGAGGGAGGCAGTTGGCGCCTGCAGGTATGAAGGTCGGAGTTGTGGAGGGACGTTGGCGCCCCTCCCTATGGCCGTCTTCGTTGGCCGTGGGACCGCAGGGAGGGCATCGGGCCCCTCCTGTGCCAGCTGGCTGCATGGTGGATTGGTGTACTGATGGGAGCGCGACCCCGGCAGCCCCCGTTGGCGGCTGCGAGGGGAGGGAGAGGGTCACCAACACGTATTTGTGACCCTTCCTTCGCCGGAGCGACCTTTTGGTGCGGGCCCACTTGGGCGTCACAATAGCTGAAGGCGATGCGAAAGCAGCAGCGGCCTGCGCACTTGGGTGTTACCCCCTCGCGACCCCCCCCCAAAAAAAAGGCGCGCACCAAATTTCACTCTTGCCTAGGGTCACTCTAACATGCAGCCGAGAGGGGGAGGGCTTGACAATCTGGCGTGGGGGAGTGGAGGGGGTTGAATCGGATCGACTCGGCAGGAGGAAGCGTCAAGCTCCACAGCGCCGTCTGGGGCTCCTCCAATGTCGAATGGACCACAAAGATGGATCTTAAAGCTTAAACCAGTTGCGGCAGTACTTATAGCCCGCCCTGCCCGAGGGGAGGAGGGGATATGGAGGGAGGGGAGGGGTGGATCCGTCGGGCTCCAGGGTATTCGTTCGCGGGGTCTACACTCACAGTGCACTCGCCTCCTCCCGCATGGGTCAAGGCACCAGGACTCGAAGGTGAAGCGCGCGTGCCCTCCTACGACACTCTGGGCTTCTGGCTGCGGCAGGCATCGCCCTGGCAGAGACCAAAGCGCAGACAGGACCTCATGCAGATTGCATTGGCCAGGTGTCCCGGCGTCGGACGCGGAGGGCGGCGACCCGCCTTGGACGCTGCCCTGCCCCGCGCGCCGAGGAGGAGGAGGAGGAGGAGGAGGAGGAGGAGGAGGAGGACGAGGAGGAGGATGAGGAGGACGAGG